GCCAGGAGTGACCAGGAATAATGGTCACAAGCTGGCAGAGGGTGGGTTTAGGTTAGACATCAGGAGGCGCTATTTCACGGTCAGGGTGGCTAGGGTCTGGAACCAACTTCCAAGAGAGGTGGTGCTGGCTCCTACCCTGGGGGTTTTAAGAGGAGGTTAGATGAACACCTTGCTGGGGTCGTTTGACCCCAGTACTCTTTCCTGCCATGGCAGGGGGTCGGACTAGATGATCTGCTCAGGTGCCTTCCGACCCTAGAAACTATGAAACTATGAAGAATCCTAGTGATTCTATATGCCATGCCTGGACCATATTTTAAACCCTGCAAAAACTGTGCACAAGAGGCATGTCTGAAACCTTTCTGGAAACCACCTGTGGGGTCGATGTGCTAATTTGGGAGCTGCTGTTGTATATGCGTCCATATTGGCAAAGCCTCCCAAAACAGGCCTAAAGAGGCAGAAGTTTATTTTAGGGGCTGTCCTTCCTGTCTTTAACACAGTTAGCTAATGAGTGAGGCTTAAGTATGTTGGCTGTTCTGTGTGGATTCCCTCGTGGGCGAGTGTAGAAACAGCTTTTACTTGCAGTAAATACTTCTGCAGTGGAATCTTGTACCCACTTGCTGTGCCTTGGCAAGTCTTAGGGTGGTAGCAGAGCATTTTTGGGAGGGTCTAACTCAGGAGGGCCCTTTGTTCCATTGGTTCGACAGCTACTGAGGCCTGTCACTAATGAACCCCTGCCGCAGCTCTGCTCTGGCCATACCACCCACTGAGGAGACCTGCAGGCAGCAGCTGCGGCTTGGGTGCTGCTGCGGGGGGCGGGGCACTGCAGATCCAGGGCCCTGGCCTGCCCACAATTCTGCTCCCTGCCCAAGCCCCAGGCCTGATGCATCCCCGTGTCTGGGCAGCACACACAGCCCTGCCCAACTCCCCTCCCTCCCTCGTTATGGGGGCCTCAGTCCCACCCCCCACCCCAGCTTACCTTCATGGAGCTGCTCTGCAGGCTACTTGGCTGCCCCATGCATGTATGCACATGCACATGGCACCCTCTTTCTGACTGCCTTCCTCCTGCTCCCCCTGGCCCCTTGCAGGCTGAAACTGCCAATGTGCAGGGGGAAACCCACTGTTTTCTGCATTTTTCTCCTGAAAATGTGAAAATCTGCATTTTGCCATGTTTTTTCATGGTGAATGGAAAACCTGGATCCCTGCTAGTGACGCTAAAGGTGTCATGCTTTGGGGAGACTTAAAGAGAAAACTCTTTTGCCCTTTTTCGGGGTGAACAATCAGCATGTTGTGCACGTGAGGTAGCAAGACAGTAAAAGCATAGGGTGAATTGTGCTTAATCTCTTAAGTGCTAGCTTTATTTGTTGTCACTACCACTGTCTTACCCTTTTCTGGAGGAGTTGGAGATGGCACCCTAAATTCAACTAGTAGATGACTTGGGTGCCTTCAGTTTCAGAAAGCAGCTAGCTTTGTTCATTTGGGGAGAGGTGGGCACGCTAGAAGGGAGGGACAGGCTACTACTAGATCTGAACAGGTTACAGGGTGGGCAGATGAGAATAGGATGGGATTCAATATTGACAAGTGTAGGGTACTGCACCTAGGGAGAAAGAATCAGCAGCATACCTATAGGCTGGGGAACTCCCTTCTCGTCAGCACAGAGTCAGAAAAAGATCTTGGCGTCATTATTGACTCAAAGATGAACATGGATTGCCAATGTGGGGACGCGGTCAGTAAGGCTAACTGCACCTTGTCATGCATCCGCAGATGCATCACGAGCAGGACCAAGGAGGTGATCCTCCCCCTCTATGTGACATTGGTCAGGCCGCAGTTGGAGTACTGCGTCCAGTTCTGGGCGCTGCACTTCAGGAGGGATGTGGCCAGCTTCGAGAGGGTCCAGCGGAGGGCCACTCGCATCGTCAGGGAGCAGCAGGGCAGGTCCTGTGAGGAAAGGCTATGGGACCTGGGTGATAGCGATCATCACCTATTGGAATTCACTTTCCAGTGCAGGGTGGCAAAGGCCTGTAGCAAGACAGCAGCCCTGGACTTCAGGAGGGCAGATTTCATTGAGCTAAGGAGTCTAGCCGGGGAGGCACTGAGGTCCTGGAGGGGTGGGGAGTTGGGAGTCCAAGAAGAGTGGTCGTTCCTGAAGGAGACAATCCTCCAAGCCCAAAGGATACCAATCCCAACATAGATAAAAGGGGGCAAGGGTGCTCAAAAGCCTCCATGGCTCGCCAAAAGCATTCAGGAAAGTCTCAAAGCTAAAAAGGAGGTGTACACCCGATGGAAGGGAGGGGCTGTCACCAGGGAGGACTATACCTCCGTTGCTCGGGATTGTAGGGGGGCTGTTAGGGAGGCCAAGGCGGAGATGGAACTGGGACTAGCGACCCAGGTCAAGGATAACAAATCCTTTTTTAAATACCTAGGGGGTAAAAAGAAGGTTCCGGGTAACGTGGGGCGTCTGCAGGACACGCTAGGAAATCTGGTGGTCTCACCAGATGACAAAACTGATTTATTTAACAATTTCTTTGCCTCCACTTTTCTGAGCAGGGACCAGGTCATCCCCCACACTGGGATCCCTGATGGTCCTAGGGGAGGCGCAGCCAGGCCCAGGATCAGAGAGGACCTAGTTAGGGAATTTCTGGTGGGACTAGATGTGTTAAATCAGCAGGTCCTGATGATTTCAACCCCAGAGTGCTGAGGGAATTAGCAGAGGTCATTGCGGGACCCCTGGCACAGCTTTACGAGTACTCGTGGTGCTCTGGTGAGGTGCCAGAGGACTGGACAAGGGCTAATGTGGTACCCATTTTCAAAAAAGGGAGGAAGGAGGACCCAGGAAATTATAGGCCTGTTAGTCCTGTCTCAGTCCTGGGGAAGCTCTTTGAGAAAATTATCCAGATGCACATCTGCGAGGGACCAGCAGGGGAGTGTATGCTTAGGGGCAACCAGCATGGGTTCATTAGAGGCAGGTCCTGTCAGACCAACCTGGTGGTCTTCTATGACCAGGTCACAAAACCATTAGACGCAGGTGTAGCAGTGGACGTAGTTTTTCTGGACTTTTGGAAGGCTGTCGACACTGTGTCTCACACCGTTCTCGTTAAAAAAATTAGGAGACTGGTGTCGATGTCTACACGGTCAGATGGATCGCCAATTGGCTGGAGGGCCGTACCCAGGGAGTGGTGGATGTGTCTTATTTGACCTGGAGGGATGTGGGCACTAGGGTTTAGCAGGGCTTGGTCCTTGGGCCTGCACTGTTCACCATCTTCATCAGTGACTTGGATGAGGGGGTGAAAAGCACCTTGTTCAGATTCGCAGATGACAGTAAGATGTGGGGAGAAGCAGGCACACCAGAAGGGAGGGACAGGCTGCAATTGGATCTGGACAGGTTACAGTGGTCGCTGGATGAGATTAAGATGGGATTCAATACTGACAAGTGCAGGGTACTGCACCTAGGGAGAAAGAACCAGCAGCAAACGTACAGGCTGGGGAACTTCCTTCTCTTCAGCACAGAGGCAGAAAAGGATCTTGGAGTCATTATAGACTTCAAGATGAACGTGGGCCACCAACGTGGGGACGCGGTCAGGAAGGCCAACCGCACCTTGTCATGCATCCACAGATGCATCACGAGCAAGTCCAAGGAGGTGATCCTCCCCCTCTGTGACACTGGTCAGGCTGCAGTTGGAGTACTGCGTCCAGTTCTGGGCACTGCACTTCAGGAGGGATGTGGACAACATCGAGAGGGTCTAGAGGAGGGCCACCCGCATGGTCGGGTCAGCAGGGCAGGTCCTACGAGGAGAGGTGATGGGACCTGAACCTGTTCAGCCTCCACAAGAGAAGGCTGAGAGGGGATCTGGTGGCCATCTATAAACTTACTAGTGGGGAATGGGAGAGTCCCTGTTCCCCCGAGCACTACCAGCA